GACAGCAACTTGTCTGTTCCCCTTCCCCCAATTCCCCAGCACTGTTCCCATTCCCCCAATTCCCCAATAAAAATCTTTAAAAAAAAAAAGTTATAAACTTTCTGATGTGATGCTCAAGGCAGTGTTATTGCAAACTGTGGAGGAAAAAGGTTCTAAGTGAGGTTTCCACATTTTCTAAAGTGTTTAAATGTCGATGCCAGTAGATTGTGATAAAATATTTATGTATATTGTAATATCCAGAGCAACTGCTAAGAAAACTCTACAAAGTGATATGAGATGTTCAAAATGCTACAATTAATCAAGATGGAATCCTAAAAAAACGTTCTCATAACTCACATAGTCTAAAAAAGAGAGAGAAGCAGAGAGAGGAAGAAAAACAATGAAGGAGAAACAGAGGAAGCAAGCAGAAACAAATGGCATACGTAAGCCCTAAATGGCAATAACTACTTAAATGTTAATTGTCTAAATTAATTAATTAACAGATTAGAAGTTGAAATTGGCAGAATATGTTTTTTAAAAAAGACCCAAGTACATGCTGCCTGTTAGAAACTCATGTCTCGGCTGGCCATGTGGCTCGTTGGTTAAGAGTTGGCTTGGGAGTACCAGCTCTGAGCAGCAGGGCTGTGGTTCAGATCTCACATGAGGGCCAGTGATGCTGTGCCTCTACAGCAAAGATGGTGAACGAATGATAGCTCTACCTGGAACTGTGCTGCCGTGAGTCACCGGTGATGGCGGAGGCTGCAACGGAGCTGCAGTGGGCTGCCATGAGCTACTGTGAGTGACTGGCAGCCAGCGTGAGAGGCCAGCAGCTGGCATGAGCTGCCGTGAGCCGCTATGAGCTGCCGTCAAGTGGCTGGCAACCAATTGCCTCACCCAGGAAGAGCGCAATGATCACAATACCAACATGGGCCAGTGAAGCAATGTACTCCACAACTAAAGACTGAAGAACAAGAGGATAGCAACTTGTCTGTTTCCTTTCCCCAATTCCCCAACGCTGTTCCCCTCTTCCAATTTTCCAATAAAAAATCTTAAAAAAAAAGAAACAAGAAACTCATGTCAAATAAAATGACATAGGTAAGCTAAAAGTAAAAGTATATAAATAAATAAACATATATACTGTTGGTGGTCACCCTCCAAGAACAGGATGGCACCATTCTACCATCTCCACCTCACTCAAAATTTGTACAGATGTCAAGAATGATGACATCATATATGCACCAAGAAAGTATAATAAAGTTTATTACTCACATAATGAGACTTTCTAGGAAGACAGAGCAGGCCACCAAGGATATCTGAAAATGGCATAAGAGAGCAAAGATAGGAGACTGGCTTGGTTTTTGCTGTGGTTAGAAGGACAAGCTGAGATAACATTTCCTTCACATGTTGGGCAAAGATTTCATGATTTGAACTCCTCGCTGAAATTAAACGAGGAAGTGTCAGGGCTTACTTATCAGCTTGTCCAGATGTGGGGCAAACCAAATATGGGTTAAGAACTTGTCAGCATTAAAACACACACACACACACACACACACACACACACACACAGAGTCAGACCTTTAAAACATATACATGCAAACATTAATTTTTAAAAAGCAGGAGTAGCTATATTAATATCAAATAAAGTACATTTTAGAACAAAGAAAATTCAAAAGGCATTACATAATGAAAAACTGATGAATGCACCAACATAGCATCACAATCCTAAATATGTGTGCATCTAACAACATACATTTTTTTTAATGAAGACAAATTTTCAATTGTAGTTGAAAATGTGAACACCCTGCTCTCAGCAATTGATGAAACTACGAGACAGAAAAATCAGTAAGGATAAAGAATATCTGAACACAATCAACCATCAGGACCTAAATAGAATACTCTTCCTAACAACAGTAGAACACATATTCAAGGGCCAATGAAATATCACCAAAATAGGCAATATCTTGGCCTATAAACAAACAAAAACAAATTTGAAATAAGTGAAATTATAAACAGTATGAATGATTTTCCCAGACAAACAAATCTGAGGGAGTTCATCACCACTAGATT